CTCAGTCTCCTCTTCTCCAGGCTGAGCAATCTTGGTGCTAAACTGGAAGGCAGTGCTGGGGTTGACTCCTGCAAGCGTGGGGTCTCCCAGGATCATCAAGGAAAAACACGTGTCCTTTTACAGAGCAGCTGAGGTGCACGTGTGCCTGTCACCGCTCCCTGGGCACTTACAGAAAAGCAAAGCCCAGCAGTGGCACCACGTGCTGCCCAGGACAGACAGTGGAAAAGCTGCAGCTGCTGCGAGCTGGGCACGAGAAAATCTGCTTTTGTGATGCTGTTGCACTGCTTTGGGCTCACGGTTCCCACTGACCTGCAGGCTTTTTATTTTGAGACAAGCTTTAATTTATCTGGTGTCACAGGCTCCCCTTTCTCCACCAGCTGTGGTGTGGAGCTGAGGTTTCCAGATGCTGTGCTCTCACGTAAGCTTTGATGTGGGATTCACCCTTTGCTCTCCCAAGAACAAAAGGGCAGGACAAAAAGGTATTATGAGATAAAACAACAATATTCTGCAGGAAGATTGACCCCTCGCTGCTTAATCTGTAGCAAAGTCGGTTTACAGCTGGCTGCTGCTGACAAACCCTGTCATCCCACTCCATGCTGTGGGGCTGGCTGAAGGCTCTGACCTCTGTTAGAAGGATCCTCCAGATCTCAAATGTCTCTATCTTAATGAAAAGGAGCTGGAGAAGGGATTGATAAAATGAACTTTCCTCCCAATACAACCCCAGGATTTATTTATTTATTTATTTATTTATTTTTAATAAAGCTGGGCATTTTAGTCCTGGAGGCACCTGACAATTCAGAATGTTTTAGTAAGGATCAAATTTTAAATATTAAAGACATCTTCTGAAGTCTCTTGGTGTCTGAAAGCACAAAGCAAGACCTGCTGGCATTCTTTCAGTGTACTTGTTCATTAATCACCAACGTTGGGGCATCGTCTGCTCGCTTGCAAATTCCTTCAAATACAGCACTGAGCTCAAAATTAATTCTTGGGAGATTGACACCAGAAAGTGTATTCCTTGCTGCTGGGATAAGTGTGTGCTTCAAGTTAATCATGCGTTTGTGTCCTTGGTGGAACCAGGGTTTGCAGTATTGACCAACAAAGCAGGAGCTGGGACAGTCGCCTGTGACGTTGCATTTAGTCACATCGTCCCTACAGCAATTGGCTGGGCTGGACCTGGGCTTGCAAAGCAACCCTGGGCTTGGAGCTCGTTGTTCAGGCTCCTGAGCAAATAATGATAAATACTCCTTTGAGGATGAACTTAACGACATGAAATAAGCAACAACAAAGAATGCCCAAGTCATGCATGCCCTTGCTTATAACAGAGCTTGACAGCATGGACTGGGGATTGGGTTTGCATTGTTTAGCTGGGTTTAAAGAGCATAAGAGCTGCTGGACTAGTTGCATTTGCATTGACTAAGAGGTTTTTTTAGCCATTGTTTTAAGTTCATAACCTGTTCTGTGCTCTGATGGATGATTATCTGAAGAAAATGTAACAATAGATGACCACAGAAACACCCAGCCCAAAAACAAAAACCCAGCTGCTGATGGCTTGGTCACCACTGGAAATAACATGTTAGATTCCAGCGTGTTAGACCTGCCATTGCAATAGGCCATGGAGGGATAAGGTCACCAGTGCAGGAGCTGCTGGTGGAACAGGAACGTGAATCACCTATAGAAATACAGAGGTTTTACTGCAAAGTTGGAAAAATTCTGCTAAGGTGAGATCCACCCAAGGCTTAACCCAGGGAACCACAGAACAGCAAACTGCTGTCCTACTGCTACAGGATCTAAATTATCCTTCAACTCTCTCGGTGCTTTTACCTATATTTCAGTGTCTAATGCTATTTTAAAACAGTTTTGTGGAAGGTGAGGTTTCTGAACAAAGTCATTGTCTTTTTTTTTTTAAGCTCATGGGTTGATAAGGACAATAGTGTTGATGCAAAGTATTGGGATTCACCAAGGTATTCCACTAAGTATTGTGTGACACTTGGATTTAAAATTAGCATTAAATGGAATGAATAAGGTATATATTTGATGGCAATATTAGATAAGGCCGCTATTGGTCTTTGAAGTTTGTTAATGAGCTGGATGTTAATGTGAAGATGTAAATTACTGAGAACATTTCCAGCAGGAACTTAAGGAGCTGATGATTCATTCATCATTTAATATTGTTGGCTCTAATCTAGCCAATAATATATAACATCTGTCCCGGTAAAGTACACAGATGACACAACGTCTGCTTGTGTGTAAGAGGAGTCTCCTCACCGAGAAGACTTTGCTGTGGCTGGTTTCCTACAGATTTATGTCTTGAGCTTGTTTGACTGTCAAGTGTGAGAGCTAGCCACTCATAACCAGGCTTCTCCTGTGGCTATAGCATCAAGAAGGCACCTTTCCATGGGGATTCCTTCGTGCCTTCAAAGTGGACATCTCATGTTGTTACTGCGACCACAGAAACACCACTTTCAGGCTCTCTCCTCATTGTCTGGCTCCTTGTTTAATGACACCTGTAAGAAACTGGTCATTCTTGAGGCTCTTCTCTCTGCTAAAAGGTTGGATTGACCCAGAAGGGTTGGGTCAGTGAGAAGACTGCAGAGGGACAGCACGTTCCTGGGAACTGTGTTGCCCAACGAGCTAATGTGTCGGTGATGGGCACAGGAGGCTGATGCTTGAGTGTGGCAGCCCCTTTCTGTGCCTCCTCATTCAAAAGGATGTGAGAGGCTCGTGGCAGCCCAAAGAAAGGTTTCAGAGATGATGCAGGAGATGGTAAACGTGGTTAATGGTGGTTCTTAATGGGGTTTAAAAACTCGGCGTGTTACACTTGGGAAAAGGGAAGTCACCAAGCGATTCATCTGTTGTGTACAGGTAGTTACAGCTCATCAAGGACTCAACACACTTGGGTCGTTATATGGTGGTCAGACTCAGCCTGGAATCAAAGCATTAATGAAGGCATTTGGTCACCAAGCCAGCTTTCCAGGGGATGTTGTGGATGAGATTGCTTTGTAGAGAGGAAGCAGGGGGGGTTACCTCAAGACAGAGGGATCATGCTAAATGTTTGTGGGCTGCCATTCCTCCCTTTTCTTAAATTCACTGACAAGCCCTTCTGGTCTTGATACCTGTAAATTTAGCATGTGACTGCTGGTTCAGCATCTTCAGCCAGGAGCTGCTGGGAAGAGGACAGAAGCCTGTGCTGCCCCAACACAGTTTACAAGGGCAGGTCTTTGTTAAGGTCTTATGCTCCAAGAATTTATCCTGTGATGTTTATAGAGGATACCACAGAATCACAGGATGTCAGGGATTGGAAGGGACCTCGAAAGATCATCCAGTCCAATCCCCCTGCCAGAGCAGGAACCTAAATGAGATCACACAGGACGGCGTCCAGGCGGGTCTTGAATGTCTCCAGAGAAGGAGACTCCACACCCTCCCTGGGCAGCCTGTCCCAGGGCTCTGTCACCCTCACTGTAAAGAAGTTTCTTCTCAAGTTGAAGCAGAACCTCCTGTGTTCCAGCTCACACCCATTGCCCCTTGTCCTACCATTGGGATTCAGAGAGGGGGCAGCTTCTTTTGCATGTGCTCCAGAAGCCATCTCCCATCTTACCCCAGCAAGAACTAGCAGGAACTGCTTCCTCTCTAGGAAAGGAGGAGAAAAACAGAATAATCTGCATTTAACTATTCTGGGAGGAGTCACAAATAGGTCAAGCATTTTTGGTTTATGTTTACATAGTTACAGCTCCTTCTGACAGTCTGTTGAATTTGTGTCGTGTGTTAGCAAAACTTCTGAGCCTTATAGCTGAGGGTGAAATTGTTCCAGCTGATTCCCAGGAGGGTCCATGCAGGGGGGTGCAAGGCAGGACTCCTCTGTTCATCCTCCCTCTCTCAGGAAGGACAGTCCCCAGCACCAGCGCTTATCCATTCATCCCTTCCCAGCCCCTCTTGCCCATGTTCACCCTGAACACTTTCCAGGGCAGGGAAGGAGCTTAACAAAGCTCCAGCCCATCACAGGAAAGCTGCATTGCCATGAGGTTGATCATCAACCTGAAGTCTTGTACAACCTCTTGAAACCACAGGGGTTATACCCTTAGTCATGAGAAAGTTCCATCTGCTCCCCATTGCTGGAGAGCATCAGCCCTATAGACTCAGACATAAGGCAATGCCATCAGAGGCACCTTGGCCATACATTCAGGTGGGGAATAGTTTTAAGCAGGAGCTGACTATACCATGGTTTTGTTTCCAGGAGAGAGTTTGCTGAGCTGCTGGAGAAGTTTGGCTCCCAGAGCAATACGGGCTCAGCGCGGAGCTCGCCGATCCTTCATGGAGGCAGTGAGTAGCTCAGCATGACTTTGGGGAGAAACCAACAGCCCCTCTCTTTGCTGAGAGCGTTTTCTTTGTCCCGATGTTCTTTTGAAGGAGTTGTGATTGGATTTGTGTAGGTGTTTGCGTGGAGGTTTGAAGGAAGAGATGTCCTGCTGTCCTTATTGCAAGCACTTGGTGTGTCCCCAGGTGCAGAGCAGCAGGTGTGGTCAGTCCTGCCTGCACAGAGCAAGCACGAAGTGAGACAGCAAGCCACCCTCCTTGGGGTGAGCAAGGGACAATTGAGTTGGGGTCATAACCACTTCCTAGATGCCCAGACTCTGACTGACATACTGGGTGGGTAACCCCAGCAGTACCCATCTCCATCTGCAGCTTTCTACTATGGATTTGGAAGCATTTCAGCGATCGTTCATTCAACGATCATTATTTTTCATTTGCAAGTGGGGAAATGTTTAGTGAGATGCCATGAGGTTAACCTGAACCAGGTGCCAGTGCATCATATCATGTGTATGTGGGGAAAGAACCTGTCCCTCTGGCTTGGCATCCCACCAGAAGGCTGCCAACCCTTCCCCTATGGCAGAGGTGTGTAGGGCTGGTGGAGGGGTCACAGTCCTACTCTGGAACTGTGCTGAGCAGGCTGAGTGTTTCCTCTCCACGAGTGATGTACCGATGTCTTTAACTACCACGTGGTTTCCCCCCAAAAGCTGGGTGAACGGTGTCAGCTCTCGGTGGTGGAGCAGGGGAGGAGGGTGATGCTGGAGTATTTGTGTTCCCTGGACTGACTCTGACTTTGCTGTTCAGGTCGATACCTGGAAAGCACATCCTCGGGCTCCTCCTCACGCTCTCAGAGTCCGCTCCTGCTGAGCCCTGCCAATTCCCACGGGCCCTTCATCGGAAACCCGGCGCATCCCTCTCACGCACAGTACGTATGCGTCGTGCGAGGCCCAGCCCTTGGTCAGTCATGAAGATCTCACCAGAGGCCTAATGTGTTCTTAGGGGGTAGATCCAGTAAATACTTCCAGTGTTTGAAGAACCGCTTTGTTCACCTTTGTGTCTTTTATGCCATTGTATCACCATAATGGCTAGGAGACCACAGCATCTTCTAGAAGTCCTTGTCGTGGAGTCATCTTGACTGTTCCTGGGAAGCCTGTGGCCAAGAGCTGAAAAGCTTCCCCGTTGAGACAGTCAATGTGTTTGCAACACTGTTAATAATGCAACTGCTCCTCTTCCTCCCCGCTGAAACCCAGGGAGAAGCCATGGCTTACAGCCAGCTGAGAGGACCCTTCATAAACCATGTCATGAGTGGAGTGTTTCTGCGAGGCCAGTGGTGCTTTCAGAAGGTGTTTCAGGAGCACGTTTTCCATTGTTCTGCTTCTGACACACTGAGATCGTGCAACAATAGGATAAGCACTGCCTTCTCCATGCAAACACTCCCAACGTCCTTTGCTTTGGTGTCAACAGCAGTTGTCTCCAGACACCGCATCCTTTTGTCTCCAGAGCATCTCCTGGAGCCTGTGTTTTCATGTGGTCATCTGTCCCTTTCATATTTCACAGGGTGAGAGGTTTGGACAGGCAGAGCTTGTTTTTCTGCGGAGTCTCGTCTTCAGGGTGCTCGGGGTTGCCCATCTCAAGAGGGACAGCTCGAAGGGTGTTAACAGTCGTGGAATCGGAACCAGTCATCCCCAGGGCTTGCAGCTTCCCTTCCTTTGCCAGCATAAACAAGCCAAGTCGCTGGTAAAGAGAATCAGCCCTCACTGCAGAACCAGTAAATCCTCTCGCTAAATACCAGCGCTTTATTAGGGATTTGCAGAGGACAAATATTTTGCACCAGAGGTTTAAGCTGCTTGCATGGAGTGAGAGACCCTTACAGAGGAGAGGCCAGCTCATCTCCTTGGCAGCTGGTTTGGACAAACTAGACATCCTTGTTCTGCTGTTAACCCGCTCCAGGCTGCGATATAGGCTAGAGGGGACCTGGTTTGGTGACCTCGTCTCTCAGTGCTGCCACGCTGTGCCATGCTCTACTTGTCTCCATGCCAATGCCAGGCTTCAGTGGTCTTCTCCTGGGAGCAGCATGAGCCGTTTGAAGTCATGGAGTGTTGGTTGCAGCTGAGCATTGGTGGTCAGCTGCAGAGATGTGATTTGGGCCACGGGTCTTTTCATGCATGTGGCTGCCATTCCTTCTGCTCACTGCAGGTTGTCCCCAGGCTGTGGCCTCTCATCATAGTGTCATCTGAGGTCCTGCCACCCCATTGAGCAACAGGTCTCAGATATGATTCAGTCTCATCACCGATAGCATCTGATATTTTTATTTGAATTGAGGGGTTTAATGTCACAGTTGTGACATCCTTTACCCAAAATATTTCTTAGAGAGCAACGTTTTTCCACCAGACTGAGGTGTGCTGTGTGAATGCAGTCCCTTCCCCCTGCAGAGCCAGCTGGCTGGCCCGGGGACAGGCTGATGGTTTGGCTCTGTCACTGGGGTGTCTGACCACTGGGGATGGCATCGCTGGGGAGCACGGGGCAGTTACGTGCTGGTGTCACTGTGAGGCACGGGATGCACGGCTGTCACTACCTCTTAACTTATCAGATCACAGAATCACAGAGCTGCCTTGATTGGAAAAGCCCTTGAAGCTCATCGAGCCTAATTGATAACCTCACACTGACCAGTCCCCGACTAACCCATGTCCCTCAGCACTGTGTCTTCACGACTCTTCAATCCCTCCAGGGATGGGGACTCCACCACTGCCCTGGGCAACCCCTTCCAATGCCTCAGAACCCTTTCAGCAAAGAAATTCTTCCTCACATCCCATCTCAACTGCCCTGGCCACAACTGGAGCCCATTTCCTCTTGTCCTGTCCCTTGGTCCTTGGTTGAACAGACCCACCCCCACCTCTCTCCGCCCTCCTTTCAGGGAGTTGTGGAGAGATAACACAAGGAGGACCAGAAACTGCAGCACTGAGTGGCTGCTGTGGAAACAACCTGAGAAGGAGAAAAGCTGCTTCCAGCACATTAGGAGGAAAAGTCTTGCTGACCCCTAGAACCCACCGAATCCTTCCCCACAACCTCCCTGTCACAATGCTGCCCACCAACCCATGGGTGAGCAGTGAAATCTCTGCTCGCACAGACTCTGACTGCAATTCCTACCTGGCCCTCCCTGCACGGAGCTGGTGCCAATGGCCCAGTCTTTTGTGTCCTGTTGGGTCCTGTCTAGCAGGCAGCTCTTTGAGGGCAGGGTCCAACCTTGTCACTGCTCCAGTCACAAGTCATCTGTACCACTGCTGCAGAAGTAAATCAGTGTGGTGGGTCTTGCTATCAAGGTCCTTAAGGACTCATTCCTTAGGGCATCTTGCAAGGCTTTGAGTCCAAACCTTGGTTAAGACATGGTCAGCTGTGCATCCTGAGCTTCACTTTGATGGTTGCTAAGGGCTGCTTAATAGTTGACCAACCTGTAAATTGCTGTCTGATGGTTTAACTGGATTTGAACAATAACCACCTCGATCTTCTGCATGCTTTTGGCTATGGAAACCAGGAGTGCCAAATACATTCTGGTTAAACCTTTAGTTTCTTCTGCATTTTCTAAATGCAAATGAACATTCCCTGGCAATTGAGATTATGCAAGCCCGTCATCTTCATAATGCTGAACAACGTCTGCTGAGAAATGGGAGTCCTCCCCTCCTCTTTCCAAGGTTGGGTGGAAGAAAAGGTGCAGAGACAGAAAAGGTTGGGAGAAGTTAGAAGGATCTTGCATGGAAAGCAAGCCAGGCAGAATTTGTTCAGCAACGTGGGGAAAATAAACCAGATCACCCTGAGTCACCTGCTAACATCTCTCCCTCGCAGCTACTCCATTGAATCAGGAATCCAGAGCATTTCTATAGCAAAATCCTCCGGCTTAGGGCTGACAATCGGTGGTGGATCTAACAGACCTGATGGCCCCATGATTTATGTTCAAGAGCTTGTGCCAGACGGTGACTGTTACAAGGTAAGCCAGTGTCGAGACCCTCAGTGACTTTACAATGGGGGACCTCTCCTAGAAGCTGTAGCTGTTCTGAAGCAGCTTTTCTAAGAATAGATGAATAATGCATTGCACGGATTAATGAGGATTTGTGTTGCAGGAGAAGGCTTTGGGCAAAGGGACATCCCTTCCCCATGTTCTAACTTTCTTCTTCTTTTTTTAGGATGGTCGACTCCGACCTGGCGACCAACTAATTGCTATCAATAAAGACTCTTTGGTGGGCAGCACACATGAAGAGGCCAGAAAAATAATTGCAAAAGCCAAATTCAGGTAGGCAGGTGACATATTTCCCATCATCATCATGGTGCTGTTGATTCTGAGGTGAAAACCCTTCATGTCGTACCAATGTTTGGCTTCAAGAAGCATGAGGGTTATTAGTTTTCGATGATGCTTTAAGATGGTCCTGCTAGGTGATGGTATAAGGAAATCTTGAATGCATGGATCATCCTGAAGTGTAATCCAGACCTTCCCAACGTTCTGGTCCTTGTGAATATCTCCTATCACTGCCCAGCAGAGTTCTGCAACAGAACTGAAATTCAAACAGGCAACCCAGCTGGTGGAGATCCAGCTACACTGGTGCAGGCTCCATGGGCTTAAGTGAGCTTATCCCAGAGAAAGAACCATGGGCACGGACATTCTGCAGATTTCAGTTGTGCTTTTGGTTTTTGTTAATGAATTGTTCTGTATTTGTTGTTTGTTTAAGACACGAGGGAAACACAGAAGTGGCCTTTGTTCCTGGAAGGGGACGGATCCATCCTGGACTGTCAGTTCATAACAACACCCCGTCACCGCCTCCAAAGGCTGTGGGAAACGGTCTGAGTTCCTGCAGACTCAAGGTCCATGTGAGGTCCCCAGAGGTAGGTTGAAGTTCATATCTAAGATCACAGACATCAGTCCTGGGTTCTTTTTTTGATCAGAAAACCTCTTCTTTAGGGACTCCATGGTAGTCCTTCTGGGTGATGGAAAGTCTGCAATGCTGTTGTATGTAGCCCTGTTTTACAGCCAGGTGTTTGAAAGCTGAAATATTGTTTCTTCTGTCTTGGGTTTGAGACAGTGAAGGATCTGTGGAGGTAATGAGAGGAGTTTCATCTCCAGGGCCTGCATTCAGACCTGTTTCAGGAGTCTCAGGTTTTAAAAAAAACCAAAACCCTTCTGCAGATAGCAACCCGCATCTCATTCAATACCAGTCATAGAGCTGGAAGGGATCTGAGGAGTCAGTTTGATCTAGTCTCCTACCCAAAGGCAGGAACAACTCTTTGTTCTCAAAGACTTCTGATGAGGATGAATCCACAGCATTCCTAAGCAGCCCGTTTCTGTTCTTCACTCATCTAATGATAAGCCAGGCTCATTCCTCCTGTCAAGCCTCGCTCCGTGGTGTGTTTGCAGAGACAAGTGCTCGAGCTGTGCGTGGGGAGACAAGGTCTAACCACACAACCCTCATGATAATTCAGATCTGTGGCTGGATTCTGTGTACTTGTCGCTCCTCTCCTGGACTGGTGTAATGCTGGGTGTATCTTCTGCCCTCTTCCACATAAACTTCCTTTAGAAAAGGATGGCTGTGGAGGTTCCTTTCACACAAGCATCATTCACAGAAGATCTTTCTTTCCAGACCCTGTGGAGACATAGACTTGCAAGAATGATACATACACGTTGCCTTTGGGTGTACCAGGCTGGAGACGTGCTCATGAATGTCAACCTTAGCCCGTATCCATATAGCTGAGCAGTACAGTTAGCTCCTTTGTCACCCAGCAGAAGGTGTGCTTGTGGTGTGTTGTGTACCTGAAATGACACTGCTGACGGGAATGAATTTCCTCACTTTGCTGCTAAAAGATGAAATTTTTAATGAGGTCCAGGCTTCCACATTAGGTAAAGCGTGCTCAGGTGCCCGTGCTACCTGTCTGCGTGTCCTCAGCACCAGTCCTGTGGCCCTCTCTGCATCTTCCCCAGCTGTGGAATCACTGTCTTAGTGGTGCTCAACTTATCTACCCTGTGACTCTGTTTTTCCCTCTTGTGCTTTCAGCTGGGACCTGGCACTTAAGAAAGAGTGGGCAATGGTCATGTTCATTGTGATAATTATGAGTTTTGGGTAAATAACACAACTGGCTGTGGTCAGACTCAGGACCTCACTGGTGGGTTGGATGGAGAGCTTTAGGGAGCACCTCTATGGAGAAAGCATGCAAGGACAAATTTATCCTCAGCTCTCCATGACAGTAATGACAAATTTGGTTTTCTGTGTGTGACCAGAGATTTTGAGATGGCTCAGGAATGTGCCTGTGCCAAGCACCTCTGGAGAAACCCCTGGAGTCTCTTTTGGCCCATGAAGAGGTGCCTTTGCTCTTTATGGGCCAGATGGGTTGCTCTCTCTTGAATTCCTCCCTCTTCTGCTCTTTATTTACACCTCCAGAATCTGCTTAGCGACTGTCTGTGCCGTTTTGTCTTCTTTTTCTAGAATAGACATGAAAATAATTTTCCTGTGCCTTCTATGTCACCGGACAATTGCCCACCAGAGCTTACTGTCTCAGGTAAGAGTCCTGCTGGATTGTTTTCTTCATGTGGGTGACAAACCAAACCTTGGTTCCTTGGAGCTGAGAATGAGGAAATTAATTTTGATCATTTTTTTTTATACTGCTGTGGTGGAATCTAATGGTGTGATAATGAAGACTCAGCCTACTAGGAGAAGAGGGGAGGTAGCAGCTTGGCTTAATCAGTGGGTAATAATTATGTCCATATTTGCCCATAGTAGCAAAATTATTTACTGAGAAATTCAGAAGATATTCATAGGAGACAACTTCTTCCATTCTCAGCCCGTGTTTCATTTGCAGCAGGGTCTTTGCCCACGTGCAAAGATCACGTCAGACTTGCATCCAGCAGGTCTCGTTGCAGGCAACGTTCCCTTCTGATGGGAACGGGTGGCCCTTGGAGACAGTATAGAAAGTAAGTTAATGCTGGTTGTAATGTTCATGGCAATGCTGGGCATTCTACAGGCATTAAGGATGCCCTCAGTTGGTCAAATTGGGAAATTGCTCATGATGTGATTGTCACGTTTCTCTCTACATCTGATGTGATTGTCACGTTTCTCTCTACATCTAAGCTTCACTTTCTCCTTACTTTTCCATGCTGTGTTTACTCTCCATGCTCCAAGTCCTGTACTGAGCTCTTAACTTTTGTGGGAGAGACCTACTGATAGGATGGCAGCAACAGGGGATGAACTCAAATCACCCTGTAGCTTCACAGGTCCCTTAAGAATCACAGGAAACCTCAATAACCCCCAGGATCCAGTGTCCAGGGAGATGAACTCCAGCAAGATACTCCAAATCATGAAATCCCAGACTGGTTTGGGTTGGAAGGGACCTTAAAGCTCATCCAGTTCCAACCCCCCTGCCATCAGCAGGGACACCTTCCACTAGACCAGGTTGCTCAAAGCCTCATCCAACCTGGCCGAGAACACTTCCAGGAAGGGGGCATCCACAGCTTCTCTGGACAACCTGGGCCAGTGTCCCAGAATTTCTTCCTCACATCTCAGCTCCATCTCCCCTCTGCCACTTTCAAGCCATCACCCCTTGTTCTGTCACTCCCTGCCCTTGGCCAAAGTCCCTCCCCAGCCTTCCTGGAGCCCCTTCAGGTACTGGAAGGCCAATATCCCTGTGATGTGAACGTTCCTTCTGCTCAGAGGAAAAACTGGGCTTTCTCTAGAGAGTCCCAAGTCTCACAGCTGCAAGTCAGATGGTCCTTCTCTCCCCACGTGCTGCCGAGGCACTGGCACCGCTTGTGAATCCCTGTGCAGTGTTGTAATTTCCATCTGGGAAGCTGAGTGAGCACTGCCAGGTAAATGGTGTTTAGTCTGCACCTGAATTAGTGGGACAGACAGGGAGCAGACAGTGCTGAGCTGGGCGTGCGTCAGCGCTCTGCTCCCAGGGGTGCCTGGCTCAGCAGCCTTCACCTTCCATGCTCTGCACCACAGAGACCCTGGGACAGGGACTGCCCTTGGTCTGTCCTCCCTGCCCTGAGAATCCCAAAGCCTTGATTTCAGGTAGGCTCTTAGGTGGCCACCACCACCAGCCAGAGCTCCCGGTGATGGGGAGCAAAGCCCTGGGTCATGTAGCCAATCCAGCAAACAGCAATGACCTCATCGCCTCCTGACTTAGCCAGGAGTTTTTATTACACTTGGGTTTGTTTTTCATGTGAAATGCTGAGGAGGTTTTGTGCCAGTGTTGTCATCCACGAAAACAGAAAACTGGCTTTGAAAGAACAGCGCCCAGGCTTGGAGCTTGGGCCAGTGACTGCCTCTCTGTGGGTGCCTGATGGATGCCCTGGATATCTCCATGTCCAGAGCTGACAGCAAGGCCATGTGGAGCTAATCCTGGTCAGCTATGCGTCGAAGGTTAACAGCTCTGCCCTTGAATTTGGAGAGTAAATTCATAGAATCCATGAACATATTGGGTTGGAAGGGACCTTCAAAGGTCATCTAGTCCAACCCCCCTGCGGTGAGCAAGGACATCTTCACTAGAGCAGGGGGCTCAGAGCCTCATCAAGCCTGACCTTGAATATGTCCAGGGATGGGGCCTCCACTACCTCTCTGGGCAACCTGTTCCAATGATCTAAATTGTTGGTGGCCAATCCAGCAAGCCCATTTATTACCTCTTGCTTCCCAGCTGCTGGCATTAGTAGAGCAGACGAATGCCTGGATTAGGAGGATTACACCTGTGCAGCACTTCCACTGCTTCTCGCTGCCTTCTCCTTGTGCCTGGTCTCTGCCCCAACAGTCAAGGAGGGTGCGGTGAGAAGTGCTCAAGAGGTTCAGGAGAAGCCTACAAGAAAGCTGAGGAAGGACTTTGGCCAAGGGCAGGGAGTGACAGAACAAGGGGTGATGGCTTGAAACTGGCAGAGGGGAGATGGAGCTGAGATGTGAGGAAGAAATTCTTTGGTGTGAGGGTGGTGAGACAGTGTCCCAGGTTGCCCAGAGAAGCTGTGGCTGCTCCTCCCTGGAAGTGTTCTCGGCCAGGTTGGATGAGGCTTTGAGCAACCTGGTCTAGTGGAAGGTGTCCCTGCTGCTGGCAGGGGGGTTGGGACTGGATGAGCTTTCAGGTCCCTTCCAACCCAAACCTTTCTATGTTGCTATGAAGAGGTGTTACTCAGCAAGACGGAGCTTCCCATCATGTTAATCAGATCCCAGGCAGGTGAAAGAAATTGCTTCCTGGGGAAATCTTGTGTCATTGGCAGGAGAAGGAATTTTTTCACTGACCTGGGCTGATGAGGGGTGAGCAGGGGCAGGCAGCAGCAGCCCTGCACCTTTCTGGAGTCTGGCAGGAACCCTCCGAGCAGGTAACACCTTCTGCAGCTCTTTTCCCAGGGAATGACACAGTTTCTTATAGACAAGGGTCAATTGTCCTGGGAAAGGTGGGGTTCCTCCAGGGATGGAGGAGCACGGGTGGCAGGGCTGGTGCTCTGTACCTGTGTAGCTGTGAAGGCAGTGCTGGTGGTGAGCATCCAGTTGGCTCTTCTGATCTCATGACAGCTTTTCACCAGCAAAGCAGCTGCCATTTCTGCCTCTTTCTCCCTCTGTGTCTGCCTCGCAACGCATGTGGCTCCTTCTGCCCAAAAAACCTGCCTGTCCAGCTGAAGGAAAAAGGTTCAAGGCTTTTTGCTGTCTTGGGGAGGGAAAAAGTCTTGCACCGGTGTTTTTCCACATCACTTTTAATCAGTCGATTCTCTTTTCCATGGCTGTTGTGAAAGCCAAGGCTGCATTTTATAAAACGTTGGGTTTCAATTTTGCTTAATCAATTAAAGAGGACAAGATCCAGGCAGATTGAATTTTTTCTTTTTTCACAGATCACCATAGCTACAGATCCCAAGACTCCACAAAAACTTGTGACTGGAAATTTCCAAAGTGCTCTTTTTTTCCAGTCTGTCCTGGTTTCGGCTGCGCTAGAGCTAATTTTCTCCTCAGTAGCTAGAGTAGCGCTGTGTTTTGGATTCAGTATGGGATTGGTATGAGAAGAATGTTGATAACATACTGATGTGTTTAGTTGTTGCTAAGAAATCAAAGACTCCTCAACTTTATACACTTTCATAGGGTGCAGGTGCAGAATAAGCTGGAGCACGGGGCGCATAGCAAGAGCAACAGACCCAAATTGGCCAATGGATTATTCCTTAGCATGTAACATCATGCTCAGTATATAGATGGGTGTTGGCTGGTTCTCTTCTGGGATTGGGGTTTTAGGATTTTCTCCCCTCTGGGATCACTAGCCAGGAACGGGCTGGGCATCAGTCAGTGGGTGGTGAGCAATTGCACTGTGCATCACTCATCTGTATATTCTATTATTCCAATAATAATAATAATAATAATTTTTATTTCATTTCAATTATTAAATTGTTTTTATCTCAACCTACAAGTCTCCTTACCTTTACCCCTCCAATTCTCTCCCCTGTTCCCTGGGCAGGGGAGGGTGAGCGAGCGGCTGCCTGGTGTTTGGCTGCCAGCCAGACACAGTCCTGGATCCTTGGATGAAACATCCTGTTTTAAGCCATGCAGAAGCCCAGGCTCAGTAAGGGTTTGCCCTGATATTCAATCTGCTCAACAATGGCCTAGTTGAACCTTCCAGGACTTGATTTAGTAAATCCCAGTCTTTGAATTTTGGCCTGCTGCACAAACATTGTATTTCATGCAACAAGAGTTCTGAGTTTTGCTTTGCAGGCACCTCTTTCCTCTACTCATGTGCTCTTCCATTAAGTTTTATTTTTGGTTTTTCAGCACCTGCTTCGGAATCTAATCATAAAGCAGCTTCAGGCACCAAACCAAAAGTAGCGCTGGATCCCCATATCAGGCTCAAGGATGAGAAACTGGAACTGGTAAGTGGAACGGGTCACACCGAATCCCAGACTGGTGGGGTTGGAAGGGACCTCAGGAGATCATCCAGTCCAGCCCCCCTGCCAGAGCAGGTTCCTTACACCAGGTTGCACAGGAAAGTGTCCAGGTGGGTTTGAACATCTCCAGAGATGGAGACTCCACACCCTCTCTGGGCAGCCTGTCCCAGGGCTCCGGCACCCTCACAGCAAAGAAGTTTCTCCTCATTTTCAGATGGAGCTTCCTCTGTCCCAGTTTGTGCCCATTGCCCCTTGTCCTGTCACTGGGCACCACCGAGAAGAGCCTGGCCCCATCCATTTGGCCCCCACATTTCAGATCTTTATAGACATTGATCAGATCCCCTCTCAGGCTGCTCTTCTCCAGGCTGAACAGTCCCAGCTCTCTCAGCCTCTCCTCATATGGGAGATACTCCAGGCCCCTCATCATCTTTGTGGCCCTTTGTGGGGTCCCTCTCCCTAAAGCGAGATGTCCTCTCAATTCTCTCCCAAGGTGTATGATGCAGAAATAGTCCACTGCTGTGACACCTCCTCATTTCCAGCTCCCACGTTATTGGCAAACACAATAAGTTTCTGTGAATGGTCTCCTTGTATGGTTTTTCTGTGAAAGAACCGATCGAGACATTTCAGCTTTGATTCCTGCACCAGTGTTGCACTCGGGCATGGGATGACTGGGCCAGGTACTAACATGTAGGTCACTCTGTCTGTTTTTTGGAGGGATTAAAAAATGCAAGCCTGAATAGAAATAGTCTGAGAACCAACCTGCCTGTTTGCACACAATAAAGCTGTAGCACTTGAGCAGTGTTCTGATCTACACCACACCACCCTTCACCAACCAGCCTGCTCCAGCCTAATTCCCCTTCTCTGAGATAGTGATCAGGCTGTGTTGGGAACAGCAATAGCCCAGGTGATGTGGAGTACAGAGCCAGCCGTGGTGCTCAGGACATGGTTTTCCTTGTTAGCATCACACTGCTCACGTGGTACAATTAAATAATCTGGTTTTTGAGATATAGTGGCCTTCTAGTACCTGAAGGTGCCTACAAGAAAGCTGGAAAGGGACTTTGGACAAAGGCAAGTAGTAGTAGATAGAACAAAGGGTGATGGCTTGAAACTGGCAGAGGGGAGATGGAGATGAGATGTGAGGAAGAAATTCTTTGGTGTGAGGGTGGTGAGACAGTGTCCCAGGTTGCCCAGAGAAGCTGTGGCTGCTCCTCCCTGGAAGTGTTGAAGGCCAGGCTGGATGAGGCTTTGAGCAACCTGGTCTAGTGGAAGGTGTCCCTGCTGCTGGCAGGGGGGTTGGAACTGGAGGAGCTTTAAGGTCCCTTCCAACCCAAACCAGTCTGGGATTCTATGATAAGAGTCGGCCACCAAACTGTATTTATTGCCAAGAGTCTGGAAAAGAAAAAGTATCTCAGCTCTTCAGTTGAGTTTGCTGGAGGTTGGGTCCAACCTCTAAAGGTAAAATGGGAGACAATGAAACATCCTGATTGTGTCCAAAGGGGCTTTTAAACACACCTTGGCTCATCTTTGCTATTTCTCAATGCTCCAGGGAGCTCCAGAAGTCTCCTCCTGGCAGTTACACAACTCTTGGATGTCACACATTTGACTCAGGTGCAGGCAGATGCCCTCCAAACTTTCTGGTGCTGCTGTTGCTGCTGGGGTGACCTCAGGCAGCCTGGTGCGGGCGAGGGAAGGCTGAAATACAAGAGATCTCACCGAGGATCCAGCCAGAACCGCTGCTCCTTTCATCATTTATGGAAGATACTCTCCATAGGGACCAGCAAAGGGCAGGGAGTGGAGCTGCCCAGTTGCTCACTGAGACCCCAGTGAAGGGCAGAGTGTCCCTGGAGAGCCATGCTCCCAGTTTGGCTTTGGAGTACATGTCCCCCTCATGGGTACAGCTGGCATTTGAGGGGGGGCTGTGGGAAGGCAGCCCCTTCTGCAGGGCTTGGGGGGCTCCAGGGGGGCCCTGGTGGGACGAACATCAGCCTCCACCTGATGGCAGACGCAGCGCTGGCCCTTCTGCTGCTCTCGCCTCTCAGGTGGGCAGCACACAAACAGGAACGTTTCTCCCAGGAATTCTCCTGAAGTGAGATTTAGGGTTGCATTTTTCACAGCGACCTCTGCTCGTCACGGGTATAAAAGCAGCTTCTCTTTGGTGGGAGGAGTGGGGACACTTGGCTTCCCCTTTTAAACACCAGTGTTGGGAGCAGGCAGCCGCAGCAGTGCTAAGCTCAGGAGATGCACACCAACCACACACATTTAAGATGGTTTTGGGGTGGCCCATGCCAGATGCCAACATCTGCAGACTGAGGATCAGGGCATCCCAAAGCCCAGGAGCCACCAGCACTGCCTGGAGCAGGAGCGGGGAGCAGAGGAGTGGGAGGTGGGACTCAAACGGGCCTCGCAGGCAGCATGTGAGAGCAGATGGGTCCCATGGGCTTGCTGGTGACAGAAATAGGAGCAAGGATTCATCTCCAGCCCCTTTGCAGGGGACCATGCAGGAGATGCTGCTCATGCATGAGCAGGAGACACGGGAGCAGCCTGGGACAGGGGAGTGTTTAACTTGGCTCTTTCCCAGACTCTGCTGAGCTTGACTTTGTCTTTGAAAAGCTTTTCCTTGCAGGCGCCAGCAGTGAAGTGGGGTTTGCACAGGTTTATCTGCTTCTGTGTGGTGCCCTGGGGGTTGAATTGATAAATATCAGCAGAAGACAGGGCATCCAGCATAATGAGAGGGCAAAAAGTGCAGTGGAGAAGCAAAATGTTTGAATGTCTCCTGTTGCCACGGGAAATACTCTGTGAATAGGTTTTATCTTCTCAGTTCCAAACACAATTCCTGAGCAGTAAGAGAAGGAGGAGAGGGGGAGCTCTTGGCAGCTGGGCCTTGCTACATCTCCACCAGCTTTTCCTAAAGCTCCTGGCAGTTTGTCATAGCTGCAAATCTGCTTGTAGTCTGTATAAAATGTTCTTGTGAACATGTCCCTCTCTTCAGGAACAGACATTTCGGTACACTTGTAGGAAAGGAGAGACTGGAAATCCAGCCCAAGCCTGTTCCTTTGGGAGATGCTGCCTGGAGAGTCATTTCCAGGAGAAAACCCAGCACCAAGTGTCTCCCCAGCATCTATTTCAAATAGTAGCTTTCCCAGTATTTTTCTTTTTAAAGGTCCATTGTTTCTACTCAAGGTTCTGCAGTATCTTGGTCTGGATGTGAGCGAGGAGAAGAAGAGGCAGTTACGGCAAAGCTTGACCACAGACTCGCAGGGGACGGTGGCCTATGGAGGTGAGCGGGCAGCTCTGCGGGTGACAGGCTTGTTCATTTCTGTGTGGCTTTGCTGGCAGCTAAGAAAGGAGAAAAGCTCCTGAAGAAAGGGGGCAGGTAAGATACCTGCCTGGGCATTGATGGAGCCTCAAAACAGTTTAAAATAAAGTTGCAAATGCGAAAGAAAGCACTTGGTAGAAGCAGATGTAAGATTAGAAGAAAGGAATGTTGGTGCAAGGACTCGCTTTCCTTCACACTCCAACTTTCCTAGGAAGACCTGGCCAGAGGATGTGCAGAAAATAAAAGCCTGCTCTGCTTTCTGTGACCTGCCAGAGCTTACCTGGCCCACAGGGTCTGCTCCCCAGAAGTTTTTGCACAAAAATTCAAAGCCATCAGCAATGTCCCCACCAGAGACAACAGTCTTGCAAAGCCCAACGCCTCTTGGATGGATGTTTTTGTGCAGAGCAAGCGATGGGATACAGAACTGTGCAATTGGCTTCATAGTTTGTGGCAACAGAAATAAGGATGATTAGGGGCAAATGTGCTGGCAGCAAAGATGCTCCTCTTACAGCCCAGGGGCTGAAGACTGGAGGAGCTGGGACCCTGGTGTCACCTCCCCTCCCGTCTGTCCCACACAGCCCCTCGCACTGGGCTTTCCTCCATGTCTGAAAGCAAAATGAATGTGGATTTTCAGACTCACCAGCACCTTTTCGAAGTGCTGAAGTCTTTGAGTAGTTTTTTGTTTAAATCAGCACCATGTGAAATGCCAGCAGGCAGGGGGGTGCCCTTTGTCAGAGAAATGCGGGTTTGGCTTAACATCTTAAAACTCAGAGGATCACAATGAACCACAATCGTGAAAACTCTGCTGTGAAAATATCTGGGGTTTTTAAAACTTTAATTTTTTTTCCACTGGATAAGAAACAGGAGTCTGGTAAAGATTGTCAACAAGTTATTTAAGCTTGATGGGATTGCTGAGGAACCCAGGAGCGTTGAGAAGACTGTTTGGCATCTCGAAACCCACTCTGCTTGGCAGTCAGTGGATGTCCTCAAAGTTGGTGGCATTTTCTCCTAACACACAGCGCTTTTCTCTTTTAGCCTGGTAAAAACTGATTGTTTCTCACAGATCTTCTCCAGGCACTCAGGGATCTGATGCAGGAGGAGCTGGACGAGGCTGGCCTGGATTCCAACTCCATGCTCTTCACACAGCACGAAGTGGCCACTTTGCTGGATACATCGGCTTTTCACTCTCCGGTCAGTCACTCCAGTGCTCTTCTACATTGAATCCATGAATCTTCTACGTGAAATCCATGAAATTCTGAGGAAGGAAAAGCTAAATTACCATTTTCTGGTTGTTCTGGTGTTATAAAGAGAAGGCAGAACTATGCATTAGTCATTTTGATTATAGGAAATTCTCTAAAAGACTTTAAACTTCTCATTTTTAATAAGGAAATAACTATATATATATATAGGGGTGATATGAAGGATGCAGCCTGGCAGTGATGCAGAAGGAAAATTAGCCATAATTAATCAATTCCAACTAATTTCACCTGGCTCACAAAATGAAAATTCACTATAGAGCAGCTCTTCCAGCTGTATCGGGGATCAGAGAGTGAAGCTGCGAGGTGAAAAACCAAACCTGCAGCTGAATTCTTTAATGTGCCTTTTGATCTGTCGCATAAAATGCTGGCTCCTTCTCAAAGTGATTTTGATTCGTTATTCTGGGTATGGAAAGCAATCTGCCTGTCACATAGCCCCATGTTTTTGGTAAAACAGAAGTGGTGCATGACGCTGTCTGTCCCTCTGCCTTGCAGACCTTCGACTCCCTCAACTGTAATGGCAACGAGGAGCTGGAGCAGCTGCAGCTGGAAATGACGGATCTGCGGCAAGAAGTCCGAAGGCTAAAGGTGGAACCTCTCCTCTGAGCAGATTTCTTTGCTGGTGCCTTCTGCTGTAGCTGGTTGTAGTTGTAGGCAAGGGTAATGGTGTAGCCTGTCCCTCTTAAGAAGTCACCAGTTTGCATTCTGTGCATTCCTCGTTACAAAGGGAACTCCCACCCTCGGCTCTCCTTAATTGCCTCTTCCTTGCTCTCAACCTCAAGTGAAACTTTATTTGTATCGAAAGTATGCAGTCTCTTTTTAGTAGTGAGTAAATAGATTGAAAAATGCAAAAACGCCTCTCACAAAGAATCCAAGTCCATGTAGAACAGAAGCATTGCCTGTCCTCCCAGCCTGACCTAGCTGGCGTGGCTGTTAACACCACGGTGGTGTCCAGGTGGATCTCTGCAGGCTTGCAGGTCACAGCCCAAAAATCACTGTAGTGGGGGAAAGTGCACCAACTGCTTCTGTAAAATATTCTGGTGGGTAGGGGCTACAAGACCAGGGCATCTTCTAGAGAATGTCCTATTGCTTGTTGCTTCTAAGCCAGTGAAAATATTTTCCCTAGACTCTCCTGAAAGAGGTGGAGAACAGCAAGAAGTCAATGGAAGATGAGCTTCAGAGACTGAACCAGGTGAGTGAAGACATTGCTGGGGACCTCGGGGTGGTTTTGGTGGTTGGCAGCTGAGGGGAATGTGGTGCATTGACCAGAACTTCTCGCTGCTTCCAGAAAGCCCTGGGCTTCCTCTCCGAGAACCGGACACTGCACAGCAAGCTGCAGATGGCAGAGGTGGTGCAGAGACAGGCTCACAGCGCGGAGCAGGACTATGAGGAAGTGATCCACTTGCTGGAAGCTGAAATTGCAGAACTGAAGATGCAGTTGGCAGGGAAGAAAGCAAAACACATCTCTGAAATAGAGGTAATGCAGCCCCTCAGCCTGGGAAAAAACCCACAACCCCCCTGACCCTTCTTCTGTGGGTTCCCTCTCTTCTGTTTATACAGGAGAACATGAACGTAGCACACACATCATGTGCTGTGGATGACCACAAGGCCAGCACGATTGCTGGGTCGACGTCAAAATCTGTATCATTTCTGCTGTCCATTCCAAAAGGATGGTGCTTTTCTGTTTGTAGCAAATGTCATAACTTGATGTTTCCAAAAGCCAAGGCTTGGAGCATCATCCTCACCTTTCTCTCCTTCTTCTGGCCCCATCTCAGGAGGACATCCTGGAACTGAAAAGACAGTTGTCCCTGGCTGACAGCCAGTTACGAAAATCAGAAGTCTCACGGAAGCGCCTGGAGATCTGCAACAGGAAACTGCTCCTGTTTGTGCAGGTGAAGTGCTGAACCATCCCCAGTGCTGGTGGCATCACTGTGGCCTTTTACCTTGATTTTTGCAAGTCCAAATAACTTCCTGGTCCATTATTTAATTCTATCGCATTCTAAAAAGGCACTGTCTGTTGGTTGGGAGAAACTAGGGAATGAACTCCTATTTACTCCTACACCTACGAGCTATGTAAACACCCTGGTGCAGGTTTTTCCTGGTGGCTCTGCTGTCTCTGGTTCACTGGTTCTCCCGTGATGCTCTGGTTGAGGCTGTTCCAGGAACTCTGTTGGACATGATTTTCAACATAATGTGTTTTAACCTTCCCTTCGTATAACTGGATGGCTGGTTCTCTACACAACAGATGTGAACTCAAAGACTGGTTTGGCTTTTCCAGTGCTTTTTTTTTTTTTTTCTTCCCCCCAAATTCCCTGCAAAACTGCACACATAGAATGAATGATAGAGTGATCTGGGTTGGAAGGGACCTTAAAGCTCATCCAGTCCCAACCCCCCTGCCAGCAGCAGGGACACCTTCCACTAGACCAGGTTGCTCAAAGCCTCATCCAACCTGGCCACAAACACTTCCAGGGAGGAGCAGCCACAGCTTCTCTGGACAACCTGGGACACTGTCTCACCACCTTCACACCAAAAAATTTCTTCCTCACATCTCATCTCCATCTCCCCTTTGCCACTTTCAAGCCATCACCCCTTGTCCTGTCACTCCCTGCCCTTGGCCAAAGTCCCTCCCCAGCTTTTTTGTAGGCTCACATAATTGCTTTAGTCTTTTAATTGACTGTTCCTCCACTTCACTCCCTCTATTGAGAACACAAGCTTGTGTAATTAGTAAAGTGGCCAGCAGAGGATCTCTCGGATTCAGTGTATCTGCTGCAGCCACCAGTAGCCTGTCCCAAGAGCTCTTGAAATCAATAGGAATGCAAAGTATTGTAGATGCTGTGTCCTCTCCTTCAGAGAAGGAAGAATTAAAATGCCTCTAGACCTGCAGCACTGCGTCCAGTTTGGGACTGGACTTTAGAAATGAGTTTGACTTGGCTCCTGAGTCAAACATCACAGGATTTTGACCATTGGAACAAAATATCTTCCTTTTTTATGCAGCCCTCAGTAGTGTTTGAGAATTCACTAACCGTGCGTGGTAATGAGAGCTTCCACATGCAGGTACAACTCAGAAACCAGGGATTGCTAGGAGAGATGATCAAGGCTCATTGAAACGCAGCCTGCAAAATTGTTCTTTGAGGATTTTTATGTTGTGTTTCATATATTTGAGTGTTGGTATGAAAATACATCATTTAGATGTGTCTGTGTATTTGCATGGGCTGTGGATGTTGCTTGACTTGCAAAAGGCCTTGAGGTATTTGCTTCAAGGGCAATGAATAAGCAGAAGCTGATTACTGTCATATTAAATCTGATCACCAGGAAAAACCCATGGGGTTTGTTCTCAGGAAATATTCATTCCTACAAGTTTGAAACCTTTTTTTTTTTCTTTTTTTCTTTTTTTTTCTTACATGGCAGAATGTCCACAATGTCCTGAGCACACCCAGCCATTTACCAGATGAGAAAAGGTAGGAAATGGCTTCTGGGAATCGTGAACAACATGAAATGTCCTTTTCTGACCTTTCTCAGGGGAAGGTGATTCACACGTAACCTACTCAGAGTTTCTAAACATACTGTCACTTTGGAAGTGAAACCATGAGAGAAAGATGATCTGGAGGCTGCTGGTGGATTGGTATCGGGGGGGTGTTGGCCTCCATTCAGGCTTTTTTGGGGGGATTAAGCAGGTGAAACATTTCTCTTGTTAAGTTGCTCTTGTTAGCAGAGCCCTTAAGCAGGTCATTTCAAAGAAGCTGAGTTTTGACTCACCTGCTTTTCCCAGCACATGTCACTCTTTGGCTTTAGGACCACGTCCTTCTCTATCAGCAGTTACAGAAAGTGGTGGAGTGTAAGCAAAGAGCTAGCGTGACTCTCAACGGCATGAATGGTTGCAGAGATAGAGTTCAGGCTTCTGGACTCCCCTTCAACCTGCACTCCTATCACTTGGAAAAAGTATCACAGCTTTATGTGTGTTTTTAATTGATTAACTCATTGTAAAGTCACTGTCCCATTGATAACGACCAGCTGCTTTCAAAAAGCCGGTTTCTAAGAATGATTGGAAACAATTTTTAAGTTCCCAAGATGGTGACTTCTAATATAATGAAGGGAAAATGTTTTTGAGAAATTCTAATAAATGCCTTGATATCTGTCTGTAAGGCAACGATGCAAGTATGTCTAAAAGAGAGTCCCCTGTGCTACCTAAGTGTCTGAGATACGATCTCCCCTGAATACACAGAATTTCCATTTAGAATATCCTTCAGGAAAAGCTGGCCAGGATTTTCAATGACCATTCTATGATAGAAGTATTGATGGCACTTTCCATATTTATAAGAGTCAACAGTGAAACAGAAGAGGATAAAACAGACGCAGTCTCAGATACATCTCTTCCATCTTCAGATCTTGTTGACCTTTTGCTATCAGAAGCTAAAGAACTGTTAGCGCCAATCCTCTCCAGCAAGGACGGTAAGCGCTAAATTACCTGGAGAAACCTGAGTCTCCAGGATGTCTGTTGATGTTATTTACAGTTTCCACCACCTTCCATCTTTTTTGCCATACCAGTTAAGCCTCCCATACGTGTACCTGATTCTCTCATGCTAACCAAGATGTAATTGCCCTCCATGTATCCATGTGACTCATCTTTGAATCTGAAATGCAGACTTGTGGTACAAGGAGTCAAAGGATGTGACTTGTGCCCACGGCCAGAGGAAAGGCATTTATCCAGGGGGGAAAAAAACCTAACAGACAGGAGGATGGTTTCACAGAATTGTAGAAATTCTGGTTGAAAGGAACTGCTGGAGATCGGGAGTCAAATCTTCTGCTCCAGGTAGGACCATCCCACTAGATCAGATCTGCAGTGGGTTTAGCCAGCTGTGCTTTTAGCCTCCAAGGATGGAGATCCAGAGCTTCTCTGAATAATGTGTTCCTGAGCTTTTCCTCTGTGAAAAAAGATTTTCCCAGCATCTAGTCTGAACATCTCCAGATGCAACATGTGGCCTCTGCCCCCAGTTATATTGTCTGCCACTGCCAAGAAGACCTTGGCTCCAACATCTTTGTAATTGCCCTCGAAGAAGGAGTGGGTGCTGCAAGGCTGCCTCTCAGCCTCCTCTTTGCCAGGCTAAACAAGCCCAGCTCCCTCAGCCCTCCCCAGCCTCTCCTGGCAGGTTATGAGCCCCAGGGCTCCTTGTGCTGGACCCTGTCCAGTTTCTCCAGAGCTTTGAACTAGGGATCCAAACCTTCATTACACCACCCAGATATGACTACAGCAATGCTGAGCAGAGAGGAATAGTAATCTCCCTGCTTCCTTGGTGTAGGAATCAGCCTGGACTCCCATCCACTCACATGTTGGTGAATGGGAGAAAATCAGAGAAAAGGCATCTAGCTCCATGGGAGTCTGAATTAACTTTCCCAGTCTGGGACTCTGAGCTTGGTCCATGAGCCATAAACATTTCTTGGCAGCATTTATTTGACCCTGCTTGTCTCCTTCCATGCAAAAGGAGAGTTTCTCTTCTCCTCCGTGTCACCATCAGGTGAGTGTACAGACCCAAACAGGTGCCCTAATCTTTACTAGTTGATGCTGTTCACCAACTAAACGTGACCATGGTCCAGCACTGTCTTTGTCTCAAAGCACAAGACATGAAGAAAAATAATGGTAGCCTTTAAGGAGCGCCTCTGATATATGAACTTGTCAGCATTTTCCGAGTTCCTGCATCATTTAAATGTGCATTATCATAATGTAGCAGCGCTGCTTGCGTGGGGCATGTTTTCAGACTCTCCTCTTACGCTTGGCTGTGTGCTGTCACCTTTGCAGCTTCGCCATGTGACAGGGACCAGTGCCTGCCTGCTGAAGGAATCCCAAACTACAAGGAGTAAGTGTCAAAACTGCCGTGGTCTGTGATTTTCACAGTCCACATACTAAAAATTCCTGTTGTTTGGGGGGTTTTTGTTTGTTATTATTATTATTATTATTTTAATAAAAATTTTTGCTTGACAACTTTTAACCAGATAATCTAGTAGAGGCCTCCAGATGGCCATGTCAGAGAAATACACCCCTTCCTAGACAGCATGAGACTTCCCACCCCACACAGTAAAGTGCAATGTGAATTTCTGGAGATCTCTTTTATTTTCTAAAATGTTCTTTTTCCTTCAGGGCAGATGGGAGTTTATGGTTCTATGGCTTGTCTAGCTGGCTAAGTAAGGGGAAAAGCATCACTGAATCTTTTATACTGTGGTATCAAGATGCTGTGAAGTCCCAGCCAAGAAGAGCAGGGCAATGTGGCTTTGTTTGGACCTTCAGAATCTTAAGAATTTCCCCCAAACCTCTTAAATGCCTTGTGTTTAACAGAGCCCTGTCTTAAATATATCTGCTGAAAGGGCACTTTGAGACCTCAGTGTCACTGTCTTAGCTGATCACCTTAACTCGACCTGAAGATCTGCCAGCAGCTTTTTAGTTATGTACAAAGTAGACGTTTGCAAACCATGATGTCAAAGTTATGAAAAGCATTTTGAGACAAACCAGATGGCCACTACAAACCACTAGCCACACCAGATCCTTGGCCTCTGCTTTTTATGTCCTAAATAATCAGTGTTGTCTTCATGTTATCCTCAGTGTCCTTCTTCCAAACTACATTAAACATTTCTCATTTTCAGCCATCTTCATCAAAAGACCACCTGGCCCCCTCCTGCAAGCCAGACCAAGACTGATCAACCGCAGCCACCAAGTCCAACCAGCGAACTGCCTAAGAAGCCGACATAAACCTCCCATGGCTTGCTCATGCTCCAGACTGTGACTGATGATTGGACTCGATGATCATAAAGGTCTTTTCCAATCTAGGCAATTCTGCGTCCGTAACACAGCTGCTGCTGTGCTGGGAGATGGGAAGGACACACCATGGGTGCTTCAGCTTCCAGGCAAACCAGACTGAGAAACAAGCTTTCTAATACGAGACTAATTCTTCCTAATTCCCCAAGACTTCTCCAGCAACTTCCCCTGCGCGTCTACCTCTGAGTTATCATACAAGGCTATTTGCTCACGGTTTTGCAGCTTTATAGAAAAAAAAAATCTTCTCAAGAGGCTACAAGGGCCTGGATTTCACTGGCAGCCTTTTAGAGCTTGTAATTCTGGGTAGTAAGAGGAGCATGAACACACCCAAGCAACTCAGGGGTCTCCAACAGCTTCCTTTTGGTATTTCATATGAAAAACCAAAGTATATTTAGTGATTGTAATCAAAGCAGCTTCATCTGTAGCCTCCTAGCCATCTGGGGATAGGTGCTTCTCTTCTTATTCTTTCTGTCTAGCTTATCCCAGCTGCAATGCTTGAAATGGAAAACACTGTCTCAGCTAGTTTTTGGAGAAAGAGTACAGAGATAGCCAGCTCTGTGCTACCGATGACCATGTACTGGTGAACACCAAGCGCTCCCTGGAATGCCAGAGAGGACATAGCAAACATATTTCAATAAAGGCCCACAGTGTCACTTGGACATTAGATCCACACGATGCAAGATTGCACATGGATAGCAATGAATGGGGTAGAAATCTGAGATGAACACAAGGTCTGGAAAATAAAATGGAACCACTGCTCACAAGGTGTTTGCTTTCTGAGTTATGATTGCAGGTGCTGTGTTCAGTGTCTCTGAGATGAAGATCCTGTCCCAGTCCATTTTTTCCTTCTTCCTTTCTTATTATTTTTTTTTTCCTTCTTCCTTTCTTATCTTCTGCCATCCAGAGGGACCTTGACAGGCTGG